TAATGCCGCTGACAGCGATAGCTGGTTAGGTGCGCAGACCGCTCGGGGGCGTTTTGCCGAACCGTCGGCAGCAGACGCCGCCAGCCGCCGTTGCCGAGGCGAGCCGAGCAGTAAATGCGGTGAGGTTTGGCTGAAGAGAGGAGGCAGTTGAGTCGGCACACTTCTGAGGACACACGATTAAAGGCCCGAAATCCCGTCGGGGATTGATTTATTGGCTCGTTTTTTTTATTTTTTTTAAATGCTCACAGAAGTCGTGGGGACACATGCCTGGGTTTATGAGCGGTTGCGACAATCTCGTTTCACCCCGATTTCAATGCCGCGCCCCCCCCCCCACCAACACACCATGAAAGCCCAACACGGTTGGCCCGTGACGGGCGGTCCCGCGAACCCGTCGCGCATCTCGTCTCCACCGAACCATCGAGCGCGTGGCCGCCCTGGGGTTTCCCCCCCCCTCCCCCCCCAGTCACGTGTTGAAGGTCAAAGTTCGTTCGTCAGTGAGATTTTGTTGCTCAGGTGAGCATTGAAGCGGTGGTTGCCTCCTGTTTGTGGGCCTGAGCCCACAGTGGGAATTCTACATTCCTGTGGCAGGGGGCGAGTTTCTCCGTAGGACAACCGCCACACAGTGGTACTCGCCTTCGCAAATCCCCAACCTCCTGATCAAGATGCCTGCCAGTTGAAGTTCATTAGTCAATTACTGCCTGCGAACATACCGTAGATATGCAGTGGTCCTTCGGTGTACGATGCCAATGATTAACGACATTTTGATTCACGATTCGCCTCCCATAGGGTCCCATTGCTTCTGCTAACGATGCATTTTCGATCAACGATATGTTTACGATATCGCACGAACCCGCCGATTTCGGCCAATCGGAGCGCTGCTAACGTTGGTTTTGCTGCAGACCTCAGCCAATCAGCGACGCCTTTTTTGACCCCTCAACCTCCACCACCTCTGAACATCCAGAGGTTCTGAATGAAGGAGGCTCTCTTTGCAAAAAAAAACGTTTCTCCCACCCCAACTTCTCCATCAACCCTTTAAGTCATTCATCTTCTTAGTTCTTATGTTAAGCTCTATTTAATCTTTATTTACCCATGTTGCTATTAATATCAATGCTTTAATATGTTCTTATACCGTTTATTTATAAAAATTGCATGTTTAAATATAAACTATGTTTTTATGGTGAAAAGGTCAACTTACGATCGTTTTGGAACAAATTAAGCCTTTAGCATGTATTTCCTATAATTAGATTTACGATAATTTCAATTAAAGATGGGATTTCCTGCTCCAAATTATATCGTTTACCGAGAGACCACTGTATTTCTATCACACGCTTGGATGTATTTCTATCATCGGCATCGGCCCCGAGCTATCCACTTGGTCGGTAACGAAGCGGGGTTCAGTTGTCGGATCCAATTTGCCCAAAATCCGCGCACTGTTTGCTCGAATGTTTGCGCGGAAACTTTAAATACCTCCTTCGGGGAATGACGCCTCGGTCGTTCTTCCAATTCAACAAGGGGAGGCGAAGCAGAACCTGGAAGAATTTACAGAGCCGTTAGCCTCTTATCGCAATGCCTATAAATAGGTTCCGAAGATCCCCGGGCAACGTAATAACAACGAAAGAAGAAAAAAATGTTGAGGCCCGACTGGCCACAGCGGGCGGCGGGCGCTGGAGGTACGATGTTTCACGGCGCCGTCTTTCGGTAATTTTTGCCCGAGTATCGCCCGATGGCGGGTGGCAACAGAACTGGGACGCGTTTGTCGATGGTAAACACCGTGGCCTCGGAACAGAATGTACTTTCACGATGAGTGCCGTTCGGGGGGCTGTGGCCATCGTGCGCAGCGCGTGGAGAGGCCACTCTTCTTCTGGCCTCTCCGCACGCGCTCTCAAGTGGAAGAGCCACTGCTGTTGTTTATTTTGTAGACGCGTGAAGGGCAGTCGGTCGGTCGGTTAGTCGGTTGGTCGGTCATCACCGAACTTGGCATCGGAACGGTGGCAGCAGGTAGTCGACAGCACGGGTGGCTGGGGGGGAAGGGGGGTTCGTCATCATCGCCATTGGTTTTTTACGACGCGCCTCCCATGCGGTGCATCTTCGTGCCGCCCGCACAGTGGACCTGTACAGAAACGGCCGCAGACCAAGTTTGCAGTTTCGATTTAAAGCTTTCGTGACTGCAGGGATTCATCTTCTTGGTTCTTTCGGTAAAGTCACGTAGAAGGGAAATAATAAAATAATAAAAATAAAACAATTAAATAATTCTCACGACGTTTCGGCTACAACGCAAACAGCCGTCCTCAGGTGAAGAATGAAACACCACCAAGCTTGGAGCATATATTTAAGCATTGGAGCGTATATTTAAGCTTATATTTAAGCTTAAATATACGCTCCAAGCTTGGTGGTGTTTCATTCTTCACCTGAGGACGGCTGCTTGCGTTGTAGCCGAAACGTTGTGAGAATTATTTTATTATGTTTTATTTTTATTATTTTATTATTTCCCTTCTACGGGACTTTACCGAAAGAACCAAGACGATCAATTGTGCAGTGTTCAAAACATCGCAAATTACAAAACAAACGAGAATAATCCAAATTACATTAATAAACGTGCTTGGATGACTTCTCTTCTTTTTTGTCGTCTTCATTTTAATTATTCATACGCCATCTGAAAATAGTACGTCTTAAATTTCCTCGTAAGCTGTTCCACAATTTTGGGTGCCAAAAAGCACCAAAATGCCCGTTTAGCAATTCTCAATTTCATCCGCCGGTCTTGTAATAATAAGTAATATTTAAAAAAAACTTTTTTTGAAAACACGCTTTAATGAAATGTACCGTACGAGTAATGGCAGAACTCCACGACTCCAGGAAGTGGTCCCGAAGCTTGCCATAACGTAAGGGACCGTGATGATTTACAGCCAACGTCAGTTGAGCGTGGACAATTAGACCCAAGCCGAAACATAACATATAAAATAGATGGTTTAAAGATATTTTTTTTATTTTTAATGATAGAATATAGTGTTGTCATCAGTATGACATAAGTATACCACGTTTGCAGTCGATACCATATTGGGAAGTGGGTTAAAATTGAGTTACAAGATTTGAGGATACGACAACAACAACAGAGTGAGTTAATAGAAAGCGTGTAAAAATATTGTTAAAAAATATGTATTTAATGTTTTATGATAGATTATAGTATTGTCATCAGTAAGATATAAGTATACCAAGTATGCAGTCGATACCTCATTGGGAAGTGGGTTAAAATGGAGTTACAAGATTTGAAGATACGACAACGACAACAACAGAGTGAGTTAAATAAAAGCGTGTAAAAATTATCGCGTCTGGTATCGAGCGAAATTCACGGCTTGGAAAGCGCCGTTCCGGGGCTGTGCGAGCAAACGGCACGGAAGACCGAGGGACCTGCCGCCGAGCGAGCGTCGTAGCGGACGAGCGTCGTGGACGAATCGCGACGTTCTCGGTGGACGGGGGGAGGCTGTGACCACTTTTTTGCCGTTAGTCTCTCCGCGGTTTCTGTTGTGGAAACAGCTTTGGAAGAGAAGAGAGATAAGCGGGTGCGGTGCTCACTTAACAGCACTTTCCCCAAACCTCTGTGTGAAATATACGGGGAATATGTATCTTTATACGTTGGGGAGCGGCGGTGGTGCAGTGGTTTACAATAACACGCTACGCGAACTCTGAGCGTTGAGTGAGATTCACAGCCACGACTAACATCAGTGGCGACTCGTATCAGAACTTTTCTTGGGTCTTCCTTAGAGTCAACTCATCGTTTTACCTGGGGAGACAAAGGCGGCCAGGCGGCCAGGCGTCATGTTGGCCACACCACCACCTTGTTACAAAGGTCCTCGCTAACAGCCATTGCCCTGACAGTCATAATACTGTACAGGGGATCTGTGTGTGTGTGTGTGCGTGTTTTATGATAGATTATAGTATTGTCATCAGTAAGATATAAGTATACCAAGTATGCAGTCGATACCTCATTGGGAAGTGGGTTAAAATGGAGTTACAAGATTTGAAGATACGACAACGACAACAACAGAGTGAGTTAAATAAAAGCGTGTAAAAATTATCGCGTCTGGTATCGAGCGAAATTCACGGCTTGGAAAGCGCCGTTCCGGGGCTGTGCGAGCAAACGGCACGGAAGACCGAGGGACCTGCCGCCGAGCGAGCGTCGTAGCGGACGAGCGTCGTGGACGAATCGCGACGTTCTCGGTGGACGGGGGGAGGCTGTGACCACTTTTTTGCCGTTAGTCTCTCCGCGGTTTCTGTTGTGGAAACAGCTTTGGAAGAGAAGAGAGATAAGCGGGTGCGGTGCTCACTTAACAGCACTTTCCCCAAACCTCTGTGTGAAATATACGGGGAATATGTATCTTTATACGTTGGGGAGCGGCGGTGGTGCAGTGGTTTACAATAACACGCTACGCGAACTCTGAGCGTTGAGTGAGATTCACAGCCACGACTAACATCAGTGGCGACTCGTATCAGAACTTTTCTTGGGTCTTCCTTAGAGTCAACTCATCGTTTTACCTGGGGAGACAAAGGCGGCCAGGCGGCCAGGCGTCATGTTGGCCACACCACCACCTTGTTACAAAGGTCCTCGCTAACAGCCATTGCCCTGACAGTCATAATACTGTACAGGGGATCTGTGTGTGTGTGTGTGCGTGCGCGGCAGGGAGGGTGTTGCAGACGTAGTTACGCGTTTCCACACTGGTCCCATCCCGACGGGATATTACGCTGGGTGGCAGACGTTAGGCGCGGTGGTGGAGGAGGGCCTGGGGAGTGAGACGAGGTTGGGGAGCAGAGCAGGTGCTGGGAGACCGCCAGGTCAGCTCTTGGAGGTCGTCCACGTGTCTCCTGTGCAGCAGCAGGCGCGGGGTCTGGCCGACGGGGTAGAGAGCGTTGGTGGCGATGAGCTGCGGTGGTGGTGATGGTGGCATCAAAATATTTGTCCACCATGGCTTCTTGACCTGGATTGATCTTATTTCTTTGTCGGGCAGGGCCAAGGAATTCGAGGCCTCTCTGGATGGAAAGGTTCAAGTCCCGGAGTCGGCCTACAAAGCCAAGTGAGCACGCGACGGAGACACACATCGCTTACGCACGCAGCGAGTGGGCAAGCGTGCCCGCGCGGCTGTGTTAACGTAGCCAGCGTTGTGTTATCGCAACTCGTAGCCGAGTCTCGTCAACAACGACAGGCTGTGGAGTTCTAGTCAAGTCTTAATGCGTGGAGTCCACACAACGGGTGAATTTCTCAATCCGGGTAACCGCGCTCGCTCTGTGCGCTGTTGGCTTGGCCCGCACGCAACGACCGCACGAAATCCCCCGAGACTCGGCGAACGTCGACGAGAGAGACGAAAACTCGGCGGAGCCCGCGCCCCTCACCGGGCGGGCGACGGAACGATGGAGTGTGCGTGCGCGTGACCGTGTCTCTTGCCGCACCTCCAGGCTCCAGCGTCTGGTGAAGGACATCAACAAGCAGCTGCAGAGCCACGAGAGCGGCCCGTGGCCCAACAACAAGGTGCTGGCGCTTGACAGGGCCCTCGGCGAGCTCATGCGCATTATGGAGAAGCAGGTGAGGAGGCCGCTCCCCAGAGGTCGCAAACGGGTTTTGATTCCTTACCCGTACCCGTACCCGGCCGCACCAGGGTCGCAAATGGGTACCCGTACCCGTACCCGGCCGGGTACGGCTTCCTGTTCCCTACCCGTACCCTACCCGAAATGAGTGACAAACGGTTACTCGCCAGTGACTCACGGCCTACTCGTACCCGGCCGCACCAGGGTCGCAAACGGCTACCTGTACCCGTACTCGGCCGGGTACGGGTAGCCGGGTATCGGGTAGGGTACGGGTATCGGGTACCCGGTTGCGACCTCTGCCGCTCCCCCGCGTCACTGCATTGTCGCTCCCCCCGGCGACGCGGTTCTCCACGGCGTTGCCGCTCCTCACCGTTGGTAACGCGCATCCAGACTCAAGTGTGCCAGAATGTTTCGAAGCCCATCATGCATTGCAGTTTAGCTTGTACTGCCGTGGTCACGTCGGCAAACTTTACGCGCACCCACAGACACAGATACACGCACGTACAGATAACCTTTAACGGACTGTTTTAACTATTGCGGTAAGAAGTACTTATAAAGGCCGACACACCAATGAGGGGGTGGGTGGCCAGCACCGTGCACCACCGCCTTTGTCTCCCCAGTGCCGATGTTTACACACCGCACAATTATACAGTCTCATTCCTTTACAGATGCACACGTGCAAACACGCAGGACGTATGCACGTGCAAATTTGACGTTTTTATCGAGAAGATCGACGAGCCACGCTGGGCGTGCCACCTCGGCGGGGCGTTAACGCGGCGGCGGGGAGTGATGGGCAGCGCTACGGGTGGTGGGGACGATCCTCCTTCCGTCGTCAGTGCGTTGGCTTGTCCCTCGGCGCGTCGGTTTCGTGCGTTTGGTTTTGGTAGTTTGGGCCGGCGGCGGGTCGTTGGTCCGCATGTGCCGGTGTGCGAAGGTAGAGGTGGTGGTGATTCAGCAGTAAAACTTGAGCACTGGTAACACAAAGCAGATATACTGCTCCACTTAGGCAGGGAAAAGTCGTAAAAGGGATTCCCGAAGGGAGTTTATTGGAACGAGCGCACGCACGCACGCACGCACGCGTACACATGGATGTTGGGCGAGCGCCGCGCGTGAGAGAGACAAACACAAAAATGCCTGTGGGGGCCATGTAGACTTGGGCAAGTTCTGTTTGAGAGCAACTATTAGGACGTGCTGTGTTCACGCAGCATACCGGGTACTAATTTTGGGCGAATCGACTGAACGGTGGAGGCGGGGGCCAAACCGGTTCGGATATCGCTTGTCATTGATGTTAGCCGCGGCTGGGAATTGTACGCAGGCGTCTGGGTTCATAAGCGCGGCCGCCCTAACCGCTGTCCCCACCGCTCTCCACTCAGATGCAAAGACCGCAAATGCGCACGGCCACCCGTCAAATAAACAAGCACGGCAAGGTGGCCGCTTCATCACTCAAACGATTAAAGCATCGACCAGCAGGTCGTCCCCGCATGAACGCATTCCGGTGATGATGATTAGGACGATGCATCCCTCCGCTTGAAAGTGGCAAACCCTGAAGCCGGCTTCGACTTTCCTGTGTCTCATCAGCGTGGGTGCGGACAGTTAAGCTAGCGCTACTGGGTGGTCCATTGTGGATGGGCCAGGGTCATGCACGAACCTTGTGAGGTCTGAAGTGGATATTGAGCGACGTGAAATAATCCACTTGTGTAACAAACAAAAAACTATTTTTGTCCCAGGGTAGTAAGTGTTATTTCCTAATTGCTTGTGCTTAAAAAGTGCATAAAATGGCTAGTATTCCCCACAAACTTTGCTTTTGTGACCAGGACAGTGATATTTTGAAATTTACCTAATTTCAATGAGATAACCTGGTGTACATTTGTGACTTTCCTTCACATAAAGTCCTGGTTTTCAGTACTTTTTAGGCATAAGCAATTAAAAAATAACACTTACTACCCAGGGACAAAAATCGTGTTACATATAATCGAAGTGCCTGTGTGTGGGGGAGAGTTGCTCATCATCTCCACTGGGGGTCTTGAGCCAGCGGTGGAAATTCCACGTTCACGTGACGGATGCTAGTCCCGCCCCCACCCCAAAAAAAATTTTGTGAAGGTTGCGTCCCTCCATGTACTTGCTCACGCTCTGGAGAGCCCTTCCCGAGGTAATTTTGCCTACTCTTCCACGGGAGAGGTGGGAGCCACCCACACTTTACCCCACTGCCTACCGTTCGACAGTGGCGTGTGTGCCCGTCTATACTGCCGCGTCCAACAAATGGGTGGCGCCAGGCAATTTGGAAAAATGTCCCCCCCCCCCCACACCCGTTGTTTCAACCGCCGCGGCCAGGAGATGGAATCGGACCGGCGACCTCCAGATCGCCGCCACGGAAACACCCAAAGAAACATTTTTGCAACGTGCTCAAAATGATGACGGCGCTTGCCCCCAGGCGAATAGCGGGTCACGCTCAAGTGAATGTGCAAACACACACAGGGATGGTGGTGGTTGGTTGGGGGGCGGTGTTTTAATTGTCAACATGCAATAACATTTAATGGACACACCAAGCGGCATTGCAGCTCGAGGCATGCACACGCGGTGGGGGGTGGGGAGTGAGGGGGGTGGGGGTACGGACGAGGCACGCACTGCTCCATCTCCACGCGAGACGTCCCCACGCGTCTTCACGCGCGCGAGCGCGTCATCGGGGCGGCCCGCCACCGCCGGTCTGTGGTTTAATCGCCGCCTGTCTCCGCCATGATGCAAAGCAGAGACCGTCCCCTCCTCCTCCTCCTCCTCCTCCCTCCCTCCTCCCCCGGTCTCCAGGGCCGGTAGTTTTGCGTTTGGGGGAGGTTGCCAGGGGCTGATGCGTGAGGCTTGAGCCAAAACCAGCGGGGATGTGGCCAGCATGCTTTATATTTAGTCGTGGTCTTAGTCTAGACGAAGATAACTTGCGGAATTTTAGTTTGTGGATTTCACCGAGTCATCCTCTCCGAGTCTCGTCGACTGAAGCAAGTCAAAAACTTCTCGTTGTTGAATGTTGGTGTTGAGCAGCACGCAATCCGCCCCCCCCTTGTCCCTCTTTATCGAGTAAGCCAATCGGTGAACTCAGTAAATCTTTTATCCACGTATCTATTCAGTTACTGTGTGTGTGGTCCTCCTCCGTGCGCTGCGGTCCCCAATGAGTGGTCGTGGGCCCATCGGTGCTCGGTGATTTTCGTCCCGTTCGCTGCAACAAAAAAATTAGTTGACAAATAATTTCGCGGCTAATTCCGTGAGCAACACCCAAGGGCGACGCCCACCGTCCGTGTAGTCACCACCACAACCTCCGCGCATTCGCCAGGTTCGTTTTCCCCTCCGTATGCACTGCGCTGTACGAAGCAGTGGGCGGTAGTGTGTGGCGGGGGGGTGCAGGGAGTGAGGGGGGGCGAGGGAGATTCGCTGCTGCCCCCCCCCCCTCCTCCCGACCTTGCCGTCACCCAGCCCGCGCCTCGGCTCCGTTCTGTTTGAAGTTTGCACAATGGACGTGAGACAAACGAGCGCCCCATCTCGAGCCGGGACGGATCCTGGGGGTCGCGGTGGGATCTGGGGAGGGCGGCCCCGGGGCGGCGCTGAATAAATATACAGCAGCAGGGTTGCTGCCTTGCCTGCCTGCCTACCTGGCTGCCTGCCTGCCTGTGCGCTTGGGTGGTCACAGGGCCACGGGATTGAGGCCTGAACTCTGTCCTCAACCCTTCTCCCCTCCATCCCTCCCACCGCCACCTCCCACCCCATCACCTCTACCACCCACCCGCACCCTGCCGGCGCTGCCTGCCGCCGCTCACTCTGCGGCAGGAGGTTTGCCGAGGCGCGCAGCGCGCGTTTGCGTGGGTGCCCGCGCAGTATCGATGGAGCTGCGAGGTGTTTTTTGCGCGCACGTGTGTTTCGTAATTCGTGATCAGTTCAAATATCGTACTCACCGTCTCTTTGCTTCTTCTTCGTGGAATCGCCTCCACCTCCCCCCTCATCTCACTCCACTCCCCTCCACGCGCCCTCCTGCCTCTCCACCATCTCATCTCTCTACTCCCCTCCACGCAACCAAGAGGCCTTCTGTCAAAGCCCCCGGTCAGCTCGGTGGGAGGTCCCGCATTCTCCTCTGCTGCCCCCGTAGTCTGGAACTTTCTCCTCCCCCAGCCACCCGTGCTGTCGACCCCCTCCGCCCGTTCAAGTCCAGGCTCAAGATCTTCCTCGTCGTCTTGGGCCATGGCTCGCCTCCTCTTACCCACGAAACAAATGACGCCTGATGTGTCTGCGCAGCCTCTTGAGATGCGGCCGCACACAGACGTAGCTACACGAGTCCGCTTTGTGCTGTGTTGTGCTGGGTTCACACGCGTGTTCACGCGCGTGTTCACGTGCGTGTTCCAGCTGGAGAAGGACGGTTCGCACACCGCACGGGAGTCGTGGGACAGCGGCTCGCGCACCGCGCTTCGAAGACGACGTCCCGAGTCCGTTTCCCGCTCGCGGGTAATAGCAGTGACAGTGGAAATTGGAACTGCTCCTGGACCTCCCCTGGGTCGACTCTGGTGTGCTATGTAAGCACAAAGGCGTCCGGGCACCCACCCCCTCCCTCGTGCACCGTGCCAGCCTAGGTGCTCACTATAACAGCACTTGCCCCAGCAGTCAGTTAGGGGCTATATGGGGATGTTTGTATTTTGTTTATTATATGTTTGCCTTTATATGCGTGTGCACGAGAGTGTGTGTATGTGAGGTTTTGTGTTTATGGGAGTGTGTGTGTACTTGTGAGAATGTGTGTGATTGTTAATGTGTCTGTATGCATGCATGTGAAAGTATGTGTATATGTGACTATCTGCTTGTACGTGAGAATGCGTAGGTCACATTGTGTGTATGTTATGTGAGAGTGCGCATATGAATGTCTGTGTGTGGGGCATTGTTTGTGCGATGGTGTATATGTGTAAAGTTTGTGTCCCGATCGGATTGTATGTGTTTATGAGAAGATGCGAGCTTGTATCAGTGTGTGTATGT